GACAATTGTGGTTTTGTGTCGTCTATCTATAATACATACTACTGTTGTTTTCGACTTCAGACTCCTACTGTTTGGTGTTGTCGGTCAAAAATATAGATATCTAATTTCTAAAGTAGTTGAAAGATATATCAGACTGCTGCTCGGAAGACTACTAAACAAAAATAGTATCAGACAACTGTTATCTAGTGTTATATTTCTACAGCATAGACTACTAATTTTGTTGTATGTTAAACAACTGTTTCTTTCAATTGTATAGTGCGCAATAACACTGCGCTTTTTTGCAGTTGTCCTTGAAATATTCAAACTATATTTTTAAACAGTAGTGTAATTAATTGTCAGACAGCTGCTCGGAAGACCACTACAAATATTTTCATCAAACAATTGTTATTTTGTGTTGTATGTACAAATTAAGACTACTACTTTGGTCTTATTTTAAATAACTGTTCGTTTTTGTTGTATAATGATTATTAACACTATTATTTTGTTTAGTGGTCCTTGAAATATTCAAACTATATATTTGAGTAGTAATCGGATTGTTTATTAGACAACTGATTGAAAGACCACTAGAAATATTTGCATCGAACAACTGTTGTTTTTAAAGGTATATCTAGAACATAGAAGACTATTTTGTTTCATTTCAAACAACTGTGTTTGAGATGTCTAGCAGTGAGTAACACTACAGGTTTGTGTAGTTGTCGGCATACGATTTAAACTATCAAGTTGAACAGTGGTCAAATTGTTTATCCGAACGCAGTTATTTTATGTTGTCTCTCTAAATCATAAGCACACATATTTAATAATTAAAATTTATTTCAAATATAAAATATTAATCACGAAACAAAAATAAATCATATATTCGAAATATTAATATCATCTAATAACTTAATATTTACTTAAATATTAGTGGAGCAAGGTTTAAAAAAGGCAACACATTTTAGATAATGATACAACATCAAAATAAAATTTGTGCACAATGTCTATCATAGGCAGAGTATGTGGAGGAGTGAGTATCATAGGCAGAGTGACTTCTTGTACTTTACTTGGCTTGTCAAACTTGCAAGATTAAGACAATTCCTTGCTAACCAATACCAACAGTCC